GCTGCAGGGAGCCTGCTGCCGTACAGTGGTGCCCTTTCTCCCTGGTGCATGTTCTTGGGAATGCTCTAAAAACTTCCCTGGCCTGGGGTTACAGAGGCACTTTCTACCTAATCTTACTCCCCCTTCGAATTCTGGTCTCCCTGTACTGCTGCTCTAGCTTGAGCCCAAGTTAATGGAGTCCTCTCTGGATGACAGTGATCAAAAATCCTGCACCTCTGATCTCTTGGTCTGAAGTACTCTTCCGACCACTTCGTAGCTCTCTGAGAAATCAATTGCATGTTGGTAGGAGAACAGCTCCTGTTCTCCATAGACTTGGCTCTTGGTTCAGATGAATTTGGATCTCCTCCTACTCTTCACTTGTAGCTGTTCAGAGTTTCCCTGCTGGGTTGGACCAACAGGTTCCACCCATTTGCTTGAAAGGGCCCAAGACTCATAGAGTCAACAGGCAAAACAGCACCTCTGTCAACCCCTTGATTCCAGGCAAAGGGAAGTTCACCTTGAAAGTAAATGATTCTGGTATTTCCTTCTTAACTCTCCCCAGGATGTCACCCCTTACATGAACCCGTCTCCCTTCACGGTCTCTCCAAACACTCATGCCTCACAAGTCTTCAACCTGTTTCGGACGATGGGGCTTAGGCACTTACCAGTGGTGAATGCAGTTGGAGAGGTGAGTCCTTCCTGCAGCAGTGTCATGGATAAGTGGGAAGCATTAGGGTGCTGCCCCGTGCTCTGTTTCAGCCCCAGGTTGATGTTTAACAAACCCTGTCTGACCGAGCGCGAGATTTGCAAAATTTCACCTGATTGTGTCTGAACCGACATCTGCTCACTTGAAAATCTTCACTCAGGGCTTGTAATATGGTTGAAATCTTCACTTGTCCCGGGTCTGAATCCAGCTCTGGTTGGCTGTGACCGGAAGCTAATGCTGTTGCTGTCTTTTCAGGCCTCTTAGCCCCTTTCCCAGTAGGCAAGGGTCTGCTTCAGAAAAACCACCACAAGTGACACTACTTATCCTCTCTTTTGGCAGCTACCAAAAGCTGGATGAGTCTCAAAGACTGAAAGCTGCCTGCAGCCCTGGGAATGATCTGCCCAGATTGTGGTTGGGACGTATCTTCTGTCAGGCAGGAACTTGTATTTCTAGGAGCAGAGACAATCATGGATAGAACCAGCTGAATTATCAGGATTTGAGATTAATCATCTTGTGGTTTTGCAGTGTACAAATTGCCCAGCAGGTGTCCTCAGCTTCCTATAAACACAGTAAAGAATTAGCAGCCCTCCCATGTGCTGGCGCAGGACAAAACTCCGCAAAGCACAGCCAGGACTAACAGCAGATGTGTAGGGACGGGGTCTGTCTTGTGGATTGGCTGAGCTGTTGCAGTGGTGGCTTTCTGGACAGTTTATCATGTGGTATGAAGCAAAGTTGCCCCGGAGATTGTACGTGTCATTTTCTTACTTAATGTCTGGAACTAGCTCAGGTGTATTTCAGGGATGTGGTGGGCGAGGAGGAGGCTGCAGAAGCTTTCTCTGAATGCCAGGATTTCTGATGTTTACCCCACTGAGCCTGCTAGTGGAATGCAAACATTGCAAACAAGAGTGATTGAGCGGATAGGCATTTTCTACTGTGACCCAGAGTATGTGAAAGGATCCTAGCACTGATCTTTACATGCCTCCCCATTCTGCTGAACACCTGGTGTTTCTGCCACTGGCCACACTTCACAAGGTTTGTATCTCCCCCCAGCTGTTTGTGAGGCAGAGCGGTGCTCTAGGAGAGGGCAGTGGTGACTTCTCTTTGAAATGGGGAAGCACCCAGCACTTTATCTTGTTCAGCCATAGTCCTCTAGCTCACCAGGGCTTCCTAGAATTTATTGCTGCTACCTTAAGTCTCCTGTGTTACATCTCAGAGTGGTGTTAATGGGCATCTCTCTCTAGTACAGCCATGCGAGGGTTGTGCTGGCCGGAAAGAGCCACTGAATGGACTCTGAGACTAAAAAGGCAATTAACAAGATGAGCTAAAATGTCTTCATCCAGAAATGCCCAATGCTGCTGGCTCATGAGGAGAGTCCAGTACATCTCTGGGCTGGACTCGATCCTTGTATTGGCCCTTTTAGTGCAAGTTAAGCTGGGTAGAAGGGGAAGAGATCTTGGCTTTAGCTGTCTTTGCAGCTGTAGTATAAAGTACTCCCTGACTGTGTTCCTTGCTCTCCCAGATTTCATAGTGAGTGTGGAGCTGTTCCTGTGGGTGAGGGAGGAAGCTGTAGAGGACCTGGCCATGTAAAGCTGGGCCATGAGCAGATGGACAGGTTTGGAAGAGTGGGTGTCTAAAACCAAGCTAACAAATGGCACTGGGGCACTTCTTTCCTAACGAGACACTGAAATGTAACTAGCACCCTCTAGAAATGGACAAAGCCACATATCGGTGATATTAAAGTAAGGGAAAGGTGTTGACTAGAAACAGACTGGAGAGCATCGACACATTGGCCAAAAACAGTCCATTTAGCTGCCTCTTCCTTTCCAAAGTGATGCACTGAGCACCTCCAGTACCCTGAATACAGAGGTGCCCAACTTTTTAAGCACCTGACCTTGAAAAAGTTGGCAGCATTATATAGCACGTGAAGCATTGCAACCTCATGTGGGCAGTATTAAGCCAGTTTGAGATGGAGAAAGTCTGGGTTAGTGACTTGTCCATGGCTTTGACTACATGCAGGGTTTGTACCAGTATAATTTTGGTTAGTGGTATGTCTTTTCTACAGATGTAGCTAAATTGGAACAACCCCTAGGTTGGATGCAGTTACACCAGTATAAATGTCAGTACAGCCAATTCTCCTTCCTATATGGTTACAGCTATAAAGTCTCTTTATACTCATAGGGTTTGCGACCATTAGCAACCGGTATAGCTACATTGGCCTAACTTGGTGTGTAGACAAGCCCTGAGAAAAGGAATCAGGTCAGAGAAGGGAATAGAACTTGAACCGTCTAGACCAGCCATCTCGGAGAATTGCCTTAGATTTCTCACCTGGTTTTTCAGGTCAGCCAGAAAAAACACTACTGCCTCCTCTCCTCCACCAAGCCCTTGTCTCTTGATGTGACTGACTTGTACACTATCCTCTCTCCCTTCACCAGATTGTTGGAATAATAACTCGACACAACCTGACTCATGAATTTCTGCAGGCAAGACTGAGACAGCACTACCAGACCATTTGACCCTGCTGCCGGTACGGCTCCCTTCTTCCTCCAAGCCTGCACGTGCCCTTGCTTTCTGCTTGGACGCCCCATGTCCAAGGACAGGACAGTTGGTTTCTCTCTCACATAGACTGTGGACCAGAGGACATCTTGCTCATGGAGACTAGAGGAGCGATTTGAGACCAGAGCTGCTAGCTGGCCTCAGAGAGGTGCTTTGTTTGACTGCTCTTTGCCAAAATGCTTTTTTCTCTCCAGCTGTCTCTTTCATCAGAAGTTGCCCTGCACTGCTCTTCCTATAGAAATGCCTACAGTTTGGAGAGTAAAAATAACACCGGCTCCACCACGTCCCATGTGAAGGAGTGCAGCCAATTTCTTCTCTCACTTGTTGATTTCTTCTCCGTCCTTTCTTTGCTGCAGTAGTTGCCTTACTGTCACGAGAAGGGCTTGTTGTCAAAGCTATCAGTGGCAACATCAGACCTCCTTTGGGGGTAGGGTGGGGAATTTTCTGCCGTTGGGAACTCTTAAATTGCCCAGGTTTTTCACTCTTGCTCCATGTTTTTCAGTTCAGTTCTTAAAGCTCCTAATTTCTTAATATCCTTCAGGTGCTGGAATCCCCGCTGTGGATTTGTCTGATAGCAGCTAGCTGCTGAGAGCATCTGGGCAAGCTAAGAATCCAAAACAACTTGGTTCTAATACCTGTTCTGGATAAACCCTTAACACACTGACAAAACAACATGGAAGAGAGAAATCCCTTCCCCTTCATTTGCTGCTTCCCCTTACAAGAGAAGCCTTTTATCAGGCACTCTTGTCCCTTCCTTGTAATACTATGTTGCACCTCTATGGTGCATTACCTAGTGCTCTGCTGCAGAGACCCAGTGATAGGAGCCTGGTTTCACTTGGGGGTTCTGGATTTCAAGGCATCTCTACTGCCAGGGCTGTGGAGGTGGAGGAAATCTCTCTCACCCCCCAAGCATTGAGCTGCCCATGGAGAAGAGCATGAGCATTACTTCTCCAGCTCAGATTCCCAGCCTCTGGCAGCTGTGCGGGTTTACTTTAGTTTCATGAAACAAGATGATGTGATTTGTGCTGCTGCCGGACAGAAGGAGCCTGGGGAGGTTGAGGCTGCCAGCCAGCCAGAGCTTTGCAGGGAGGTTAGTGGAAGGACTGTCGGCAGCTCTCAGCGTTTGGGATGCTTGCGATAGCAGACTCACCTGCCGGGTACCGTCAGCACCAAGAAGCTGGTCAAAGCCAGTCTGATGCTCTAGCAGGCACCATCCTGGCCAGTACCTGTCGTTCTAGGGGCTACGGAACTGATTGGCTTGCTAAAGCACAGAGCACGCTTGCTCACCTGGGGATGGCATCCCAGACAATTTTCCCCAGAACCCTCTTACCAGCCCTCTGGTTAACTTGTTTCATGGTACTGCATGAAACTAGCTAGCTGTGGAAGAAGCTGCTTGTTTAGGAGTCTGGCTTATTCTAAAACTGAGCCGTCTGGAGGGATGGAAAACTCAGTTGTCACGTGTCCATTGCAGAGCCTGTGATCTTTGATTTTGTCTAGGGACTCTGTGTGTTCCCTCGCTGGGCAGCGCTATGGCAGAGGTTGCGTTGCTCTCATTGCTTTAATTGAAGAGGAGTTAGCGTGCAGAGAGCGCATGTGTCGCACGCTGGGCCTTTCGTTAAGCAGGTTTCTTCTAGGAATTGGTGAAGCTTTCCCCTGTATTGGTTGTGGATGGCTGAGTTGGTACGGGCAGATCGAGTGTCTGGGGATAGCTACATGATACAAAGGAGGCGATAACTCTGCCGTGTTGGCATTAGAACCTGTAACCAGCCACAGGACTCAGCTACATATTGGTTTATTCATTGTGGTGGTTTTCTTCTAGTCTCCCCTCTCCCCCGCGCAATCTAGCAGACTGGAGGTTTTGGCCCTTCTTGCATATCCTGCTGAGCGGAGAGGGAAGAGCTTTGCTGTGTGTAGAGCAAAACTTCCCTTCAGCACATGACATTCCCCCTGCTGGGTCCATCTGGTCGTAGCAGGTACCATCCCAGTTTTGCATGCCGGCCAAGAGGGTGCCCTGTGTGATTCAGGTGCATCGAACACCCCCGGCTTGTGACAGCTGTTCTGTCTCCGCCACAATTGCAAATAGCCTGTGTGCTCAGGAGACCCTTCTGCACTAGCCCTGAAGGGGGGAGGGTTGACCTTTCCGCATGCCAGATAGACGGAATGACATTTTCCCAAGGCCATCACCTATCTCCTACCTCTTCCCCTGGGGCTCCAGAGCTGTGGTGGGAGTGGCCCATACCAAGATGGCTCAGTCCTGGCTGGCCAGGTAGTTCTTCAGGGAGAGCTTTGGTTAGAGGAGTCTAAATGACTGTCAAGGGGGTTGACTTGGGCTTGTGCTTTTGACATAGAGGGTGCCTTGTGCTATGTAAACAGACTAACGATGTAACGATGGTCGGCCTGTTTCGCCCATATGTAGAGCAGGCCTGCAAGTAACTTGCTTTCCCTCTGCTTTGGGCCAGGGGCCAGTCGTTTCTGTAGCTGGAAAGAGACTGAACTTGTCCCAGAAACTCTAGGACCTTTCCCTCCTCGCCCCAGGTGAATGGGATGTTCGAAATATGCTTGTGTTGAACTAGCTTCCAGTCCAGAGGGATCTGGCTCCTGCACAGTCCCCCCCATCACTGGTGTGTGGCCTTGTACACAGTCTTATCTCTTCATTAGCCCAGCGAGAGACCTGGTTCTTCCTCCTCTATTCAGATGCTATGTGGGAGTTCAGCCTCTCTCCCGCCCCCTCCCCCCTAATAAAATAGGGCTTGTTAATTTTGTCAGTCGCCTTCACCAGGCATGTCCGGTTTGCTCAGTACATGAGGCGTGGCAGTGTATTTTGCCAAACCACGTCTTGGCCTCACTAGTGAGTTGTGGTGCGAGGAGCCCCAGGCCAGCCAAGCTGAAACATCTCGCTCTGGTACATCTGAGCCCTGGCCTTAGTGAAGGCTGCTGGACTCCAGCCTGTGCTCAACCGCACTTGCTCTGCCCAAGCATCCATCCTACTGGTAACTGCTGTGCAAGGAAAACATTTCCTTTCACTGCTACAGCCAGGAGAATGTGTAACTGGCCGCAGTGGGACTCTGCCAGCTGCTTTAAAGGGAATCCACAAATGGACGTGCCCCTGCTCAGCAGTCTTGTCTATGGGCCATAGCAGGGAAATTTCCTTCCTGAAGTAAGGCAGTTCCGGGGTGCCCCTCTCTGAGTGTGGTTCTGAGATGCAGCACTTGCCTCTGCCGCTTATCACGATTGCACAGGATCCCGGATCCTCTCTTCCATCGAGACTTCTCAGACATCGCAGACCACTGCACTCCCTTCTCCCCAACCTTAACTGCTTGTTGTCTGCCCCTGACGGCTAAGCAGCTCACTAGACCGGTGCCTGTAATTCTTATCAGAGTAAAACAGAGAGAGAGTCCACATCGTGGGTCAGTATTGATGGCAAACGCGCAGGCGAGCAGACGGCACTGCTTCCTGTGCAGCGTCTTAACTCTTCTGTGCTACGAGCCACGCCGGTGGCAGTCACGTATCATTTTATTTTGCACTGTTTTGTTACCAGATGATGTAAGCTAATTCCACGGTGTATATAAACTGTATTTTTTTTAAATTTGTATGAATATATATTTTTATTTGAACTTTGGCACTTGGGATGTGGTCTTGTCACCGTAAACTGTCTGAGTAAAATGTCTGTGTCCTTCTGCAACTGCTGGGCCTCGTGATCTTCTTCCTCCCCATTGCATGGGTGGTTTACACTTTATTCGTTCTATTTTCATCCCAATAATAAAAATGGTCGAACAGCTGCAGAGCCAAGGACATGTGTTTTCAAGGTAGGTAGTCATTCGGGCTGTTTGCTGTGTATGCTTTCTGGGCCGGGCCCCTCACTGTTTGTACTAGAAGGCAGTTGCAAATAGGCATCACCCAACTGCTTCAAATCAATGGTTAATCTAGACCCAAACCTCTCTGGCAGGGGCCAGTCCCAGCTGCTTAGCTGAAAGGGAGACACATGTTTCCGGGCAATCTTTTCCCCCTTTCCCCAAGTTCAAAATTTGGTCTTTGGTAGGGATAGCTCAGTGGTTTGAACATTGGTCTGCTCAACCCAGGGTTGTGAGTTCAATCCTCAAGGGGGCCAGTTAGGGATCAGGCAAATTTGTCAGGGACGGTGCTTGGTCCTGCCGTGAGGGCAGGGGAGTGGACTCAATGACCTCTTGAGGTCCCTTCCAGCTCTGAGATTGGTAATACAGGTTGAAGAACATGTAGAGGCTGCATATGACGATAATGTGTTTATCCTTTTCAAAGCCCGTTTGCTTTAATCGTTGCTGCGGTGTGACTGGTGCGTCACACTGGCCAGAAGTCTGGTCCTTTTTGGAATCCTGCTAAACTTGCGCCTAACGCATTAATTTCAACAGAGGATGGTGCCACTGCTCCTGGACCTAGTTCCATACTCAGTTACTTGATGGGCTAGCTTTGCCATTGATTACAATGGTAACAAGATTGGTCCCATGTGGTTTGTAAATTGGCCCTAACACCCGAGAGCTCATCTGCTTTGTTAGCTAGCCTTCCCCTCCCTCCTTCCCCTGCCCAATAAGCTTTAAAAAATCCAGAGAGAAGTAAGGTATCCTGCCTTTTCCTTAGTGGAGGCAAGTCATCCATATTGGTGGTGCTCTAATTTCATCCTGAGCACTTGCAAGGAGTCCCGGGGGTGGTTTTATCTCAAGCAGCTGCGTTCTCTCCCACTGCCCTACAGAAAACACTAGCTGAAACAAAGCACAGCTTAGCCTTAGGCCTGGCAGAGCTGCCCAAGGTGTAGAACCCTGTGCAGATACAAAAATGTGGATCCACATCCACCAGGCTCAACTCATCCGATCCACAATCCGTGTTCTGGATTTTACTTGCATCTGTGCAGCAAACCCTGGGGAGGGGAGCACAGATGAGCAAGGATGGGGCAGGGAAGAGGCAGGCAGCACAAAAGCAGGGACTTTGGGGATAAGGGGCAGCAGGGACCTGGGTCTGGGCTCTGCAAATCAGTGCTGGTCAGAAAAGAGGGGGGCTGGGCAGGGCTGGCACTCAGCCCCTCATGCAGGGAGACTTAGGATGGAGCTTGTCCTTTCCTTGCCTGCAATGCAGGGGCCTGTTCTGGTGCTCCCCCCATCCTTGGCCAGGCAGAGGGTGGGGAGAGCCCTGCATGGGTCTCTGCTCCCCGATTGGCAGATATGCAGGGCTTGACTAAGGTGTATCCTAAAATGTAATTTATGGGGGTGGCAGCAGCAACATCAGCCCTCCCCCTGAGTTACCAACCAGTATGTCAATGCAGCCGAGAGCGAGACCCTCTCCTGGGTAGGGTTGCCAGATGGTTTCGCCAAAACTACCAAACATCTCTCTCCCCCCGAAAAAACACTAGGGAAAAAATTCTGTTGGGGGGGGGCGAAAGGGAGGGAGCCAAAGTTGAGCAAAAAAAAAGGACTCCAAGTTATTTAATAATAATTAATAAAACAGCACGACCCCTTTCAGAGTGCCTGCAGAGTTAGAATAGGGATAGGAACGGGAGCGGTTGAGCACTAAGACCTAGGGAAGGCATTGCTTCCCCTTAGGCTTTTTGCTGGTGGCCATTTTGTTTTCTTGATCAAGCCAGAACACCACTTCCCTGCGGAACCAGGTAAGCTGGGGTTGTTGGGGACCCAGGCCGGACCCCTGGGCTGGGAAAAAAATCAGAAAGTACTGGACATTTTAGGTGTCCGGTATTTTCTGAATTTTTTTACCGGACAGGAGGTGAAAATACCAGACTATCTGGGTCAATACCAGACACCTGCAACCCTACTCCTGAGTGGGTGGGTTGGGAAAATTCTAGGGCACCAAGCATCTCTTGGCAGGGAAGGACTGGAGGAGTCAGGCCCAAGGGACAGACGGGGACACTCCTGCCCCTTGGACAGTGGGGATGTTCCAAATTTGGGTTAGTGACTGTGGGTGAAATTGCAACTACTCTGGCCCTAGTCTCTTGCTCTTCTGGGTCAGGGAAGATGTGCTGGGTGGGAGGGAAACCTTTACTCCATCAACACTCCTCCTCCTTCCCCCTTGTCACAGTGTGCTGGGGTGGGACTAGGATCTGCCTTTTTCGATTTCTGTCTCGGGTGTCATGTAAAAATGAGGAAACAGGCTCGGTTTCTCTGAATGGGGCCAAGGCAGCCCTGGGCCATGGTGGTCACCTGACAGCTCAGTGCAGCTGCAGCTACCTTCTGTCAGAAACATCCCCCCAGATACAAAATGGACGCTGTGCACTTGGCTGCAGCATGGCCTGCTTAGGGCCTTGGCCTGTGCTGTGGGGTCAAGGTTGTATATAGGCCAGCGGGTTATTTCCTAGGACGGAAGCAGTGAGTGTCTTTCTGACGGAAGGAAGGAGTAAGCTGATTGGAAATGTCCTGGCCTTGGCCTGTGCTGTGGGGTCAAGGTTGTATATAGGCCAGCGGGTTATTTCCTAGGACGGAAGCAGTGAGTGTCTTTCTGATGGAAGGAAGGAGTAAGCTGATTGGAAACCGTCCCTCCGTGCCCTGGGTTTTATACTCTGCACAGCTGAGTTAATACAGCAGCTATAATAGGGTTACACTTAAACCAGCCTGCTGCCTCTACTCAGGCTTAAATGGGGTTTTTAGGCTTGTTAAATCCCAGCACTCATTAGACCCCAGTACCCTTAAATTACTTACATATACCAGGTGTCTTACTGCAGTTCAGTGAGGTTTTGTCACGGTCTTCTAGCTGCATGTGAGGTGTGTTTTTACAGGGTTTGAAAAAATTAACCGTAGCCTTTTTATTGTACTCATTTATTTGATGGGGCAAGCAAAAAAAACACAGCTCTGCACTTTCTGTCCAAGGTGCTGAACTCTAGGCTGGAATTCTTTCCAGTGCCAAGGGACTGATGATATCCTTTAACGCTTACGATTCAGGGAGAAAGCCACCATCCTGTGCTAAGGTTGGGAGGGTAAATTGTTTGCAAACAGGTGAAGACAGATGGCAGCTTCACTTCATCTACTGTACCTGCTGCAATGCAAGTCACCAATGCGGTGCTAAGAAGATGCAGCTGATTTTGACAGCACTTTGATCTTCGGGGCTCTGAGGAAGATGTTGAGGATTGCCCCCGTCTCCAGATACAGCTTCAAAACTGAAGGAGAGAGAAGAGACCAGCAGATGCAGGAGTGGGACATTTCTCTTTAGGGGGACTTATTTGTGCCAGCGGAGCATAACCTGCTGGTGAGTTTTACAGGTATGGAACTTTAGCTCAAGCCTATCAACCGATGCGTTTATCTCTAAAGGTCCCTGACTCAATCACCAGCGTGGTGCTCAAGAGGACAGCCATCATGATTGCACCTAGAACCATCAAGAGCAGGTCCCCCATGGAAAAACCAGCACACAAATGAGAAGCAAAAAAAATCAGAAACAAAATCCAAACCCTCACTGATGTGGCTTGTGAGTGAGAAGGAGAAAGACACTCCCCACATTCCCCTCGCACACCAGAACTTGGGGGGTTCCCTATGCTTTGCAGTGGGGCCAAAAAATGAGGGAGCTGCCGGGAAGCAGACTTGGAGTGTGAGGTCTGGGTGGAAGGGAGGGTGTAGGAGTGGGTTGGGATTGGTGGGTCTGGGAGGGAGAGAGGTTGCAGAAGCAGTGTGGGGTCTGGGCAGAAGGGGGGGGCTGCAGGGCTGGAGCATCAGCTCCCCAATCCTGAGGGAGAGCCCTGAGGAGCCCGATCCAGGCAAGCTGGGGGCTGGACCCGGACCATGCTTTTCCCCATCCCTGGTCTAAATAAGTGAGGCAGATCGCGAGGGGGAGAATTCTCTCCATTTCCCAGAGGGTGAATTGGGCTAGAAAGAGATGACGCCACTTGCCCGGGGTGCACTGTAGCAGAGCCAGGGTTTGATTTGTGTTCCACCACTCAACAATCTTTGCTCTTAAAAATAAACCATCGGAATTGGAACCAATGCAACACATGGTTTCAAAGGGTGGATAAAGACAGGAGCAACTTAACCTGCTACTGGTGCCTCGGCAACTCTTTCCAGCCAAGCCATCCAGCAATATTCCTCTTTTCTCTGTTATTCTTTTCCCTCCCACTCCCTCCTCCTCCCATCTGCAGCTGGGCTGCTGCTGTTTTACATGCTTGGGCCACCCCTCTGTCCTGATCCCATCCCGAGAGAGGTCGGAAGCTGTTTCCCCTCTGGTAGCTCGCTTACGCTTTGACTGTGGCCTTCCCATGCCTTGTGGTAGGGGCGGGACATTTCTCTGCCCTCTTCTTAGGGGGATGATTATCCCTAGCTGGGATCTTAAAGTGCTGAGAAGGTAACAGGCATCCACAACCTGTGCTCCCAAATGTTGCCAGAGCACGGCAGCTTGAGCTGAATAGGTAAAACCTGGCTAAGACAGGAGTGAGAAGTGGGTGTGGCAGGCAAGGCATAAATCTTTATATCCTTGAATTGGTCGAGCACTGAGGCCATTGAGATGTTTAGAGGGGTCCACTGTGGGCTTTGGCATCATTACAGAGCGTTCTTGGGTGAGACCAGGATCTGGAAGAGGTGCGTTAGCTAAGTGATGACTTTGCACTCAGCATAGACAAGGACGGGGGGGTTTGGCGCCGTGCTGGCTAGTTCGTTACTCCTCACTAGGCTGGGATGTCACCGTGAGTAGGTAACATGATGCTGCAGAGGCTTTGCTCTGCGTTCTCGGCCTCAGGCTGGTTGACCCTGAGGCTATGATCTACCCCAGAAAGATGGTGTATTGAGGACATGCCCCGTGAATGAGTTGCTGGAATGACAAAAGGCTGCATTTGAGTCTAAGGAGGGTAAATTTGCTGGCAGTGATACCATTCAAACAGCAGACAAGTTGCCAATGGGAAGAGCAAGTAGAACCCCCTCAGTCTGATTGGAAAAGCCAGCCTGAGCAGAACAGTGAAGGGGGCCCTGCTATGCTGACCCCCCACAAATGAGCTCTGACGTCTCTGATACTTAGGGTGGGAAATTCCATTGCTCTGGAAGCAAATGCATCACCCTGGAAAGGATTCTGCCTAGGGTGGTTCTTCTGGCGCCCAGGACATTGGTGTCTGAGGGTGCGTCTGCACAGCAGGGCTTACCTCCAAATAAGCGACGCAAATTGAGCTGTGTCAATTGCATAGCTTATTTCAAAATAGCTTATTTCGAAGTGTCTGCACAGCTCTTATTTCAAAACCGAGCACTCTTCCTCCGACTTGACCTGTTCCTCCTACAATGAGGATTACAGAGGTTGAAGTAAGAAGTCCTCCAGCTTGACCGTATTTCAACATTATTGCAAAATAACTGCCGGCTGTGTGGACGTGGGCTTAGTTATTTCGAAATAAGGCCAGTCATTTTGAAATAATGTTGCTGTGGAGACCTATCCTGAGTGCGCTCTTCCACCGGTTAAATGGGGGCACCGAATTCCAGGGACTGAGCCAGAAGAGGACAGTTTTCATTATTGTCTAAAAATTAAAATGTCCTATAAAAGTTCAAAAAAGGCAGGTAAGGCCGAGTGTCACCCACTGCACTGTTAGTTGAACCCCAAACCCATTTCATGTCCCACTGTTTTCTAAATTATCCACCTAGGTGGACACAGCAGCAAGAGAGTTGTGGCAGGTGACCCCTCAAAACCCAGCATCCATCTTTCAGCCTGGACCACTCAGTGCACCTGAAACTTCCCAGGAACTTTGCCCAGACCATGAGCTTGCTTCTTCCTTACTCTACTTGGTATTCAGTCCCCCAGCTGTGCTTGGGTGATTCTAGCCATTCCCTCCCTCTCTTACCCTGTAGCCGTTGCATCCAAGGCCACTCTGGGCTCCTATTCTGTCTATCCGTTGGCCGAAGCAATCCGAGAACCTTCTCATGCTGCGGGGCGAGGCTCCTCGGGGCGGAAAGAGGTTTCTCTGGCAGCTCCCAGCTGTTGTGCCCGTAGGCAAGGCCTTCTCTCTGGGGTCTAGCGTATTCATTGTTCCGCAGAGCATCGTTTGCGGCTTCCTCGTTGTGCTCATTCATGTCGTGGGACAGGCCTGTGTCTGCTTCTTCGGAGGGGCCCTTGCTCTGCAGGAGATCCAGCAGGGTCTGCAATGTAGAGACCAGCAGCAGAGGGGAGAGCATTACCCTAGGGGCTGTGCACACCTTCCCCACTCCCCCAGCCCCAGGTGGCAGTGTGTTTGGACAGGCACGCCTGCTGCCCTACCTTGAAGTCGGCAAGTTCAGCGGAAGAGGCCGAGCTGTACATGGGATGAGCTTTAGCTCTTCCTGTGGGCTTCATGGTGAGCAGCAGCAGCAACAGCGAGAACCGGAGAGCAGCCGTAGTCCACCAGCCCATGCCGCAGTCCAAGTTGGGCTCCAGCGTTTAGCCCCCTCTCGCTATGGGCTGCGATCTTGACCCCTCCTTTTTTATACCCGCGGAGTCGGCAGGCGGAATGCCCAAGGAATGAAGCCCACTGCATTCCGTCACTTGTCCGCGATGAAGGAGCTGAGGCTGGAGATGGCAGAAGATTCCCTTTTAAAGTTATCCAGTCTGTGTCCGGCTGTCAGGGGGCGGCGAAGCTACATTGGCCCCAGCAGAGCGATGGCCGTGAGGGCTGCATTCCTGTTGATTTGTCTCAAGAGGTTTCACACTTCCAAGGTGTGAGAGAAGCACAAAGAAACACCCCCCCCGCCCTGCAGCCTGATTCTTGCTTCCTAACAATGGAAACAATGAGGCAAGTGTTGGACAACTGGCCAGCAAACCTGGAATGGGCCTGGCGGGGGTGTCCAGATATGTAAAGGCGGCACCATGAAAGGATGCCGGAGAACTGGCCACAGAGCTACCATTAAAGCCAGGGACCTAGACTTGTTGGGACAGATTGTCAGCTGGTGTAAATCACTGGAGCTCTGTGGGGCCAGATCCATGTAAAACGGGAGTTCATGCACCAGCCAAGTATCTGTCTCTTAAACTTCTGTCCCGTTCCTTGTGGGCACAGAACCGTGCAACACCCCTTTCAGCATGATGACAGGGCTTCCGGCTCTTACCGCCTGAGACCAGGGATCTCATTCAAGAATGGTGCTAGGAAGGAAGCCGAACAAGGATAGAGAAGGAAAGAAAAATCCTCATATGCTCTTTTCAGACAGACCCAGCATCCTAGTTTGGGCAAAGATTGCAGCACAGGCGTGAGAGGGGTGTAAAGTGTCAGGGCAATTTTGTGTTTCACACCAACTTCTTGTAACTAATCTATCTGCTGAAGGGCAAAACGGCTGGATTTTGAATTTCCTTTCACATTTACCATTTGCATTGATTTCAAGTGTCTTCAAGAGTGTTAGAAGGAGGAGGGGGAAAAATTGTTCTTGGCCTCTGAGGACAGGACAAGCAGCAATGGACTTAAACTGCAGCAAGGGAAGTTTAGGTTGGACATCAGGAAAAACTTCCTGCCTCTCAGGGTGGTGAAACACTGGATTAAATTGCCCAGGGGGGTTGTGGAATCTCCATCGCTGGAGATATTTAAGAGCAGGTTAGACAGGTCTGTCAGGGATGATCTAGACGGTGCTTGGTCCTGCTATGAGGGCAGGGGACTAGACTTGATGAGCTGTCGAGGTCCCTTCCAGTTCTAGGATTCTATGATTAACCAGTGAGTCTGCAGATGTTACTGTTGCATTAAAGGAGTCAGGTGTTCTTAAGGGGGACTCTATAGGACTGGCCTCAAACCAGCTGCCTCTAGCTCCCTTTGGGATCTTAGTCAAGTAACAGGACCTCTCTGTCCCAGTCTCCCTCTTTGGTGATGGCGGTGATACATTTCTGATTTTTGAGGCCCTGCTCCGGGCCTCTGGCACCTCCTTCACTCTCACTATAAAATAACAACAAAGATTGGTAGCTATTAAATTGCATTGGAAACCAGGGGGGTGCTAGCAGGGTCTCAAAAATGGGAATCATCTAATAAACAGGACCTCGTTAGATGACTTCATTCTCCAGGTCTCTAGGCACTGTAGCCTGTCTCATGCAGACAGGGTGGCACTGGTCCTAGACCTTTGATCTGGGATTACTGGGCTTGTGATGCTGCAGAAATAGAATCATAGAATACTAGGACTGGAAGGGACCTCGAGAGGTCATCGAGTCCAGTCCCCTGCCCTCATGGCAGGACCAAGCACCGTCTAGACCATGGGCTCCCAAACTGGGGAGCATGCCCCCCTGGGGGTGTGTGGGGGGCACAAGGTGACCCAACCTCCCCCCCCCCCCCATCAAGTTTTGCTGCCCTGCTCAGTTTGTTCTTTCTTTTTTTTCCCCAAGTTTTGCTACTATTTGGGGGGGAGATGGGGGTTTTTCAAAAATCAAAACGGGGAGGGGGTGATGCTGAAAAGTTTAGGAACCCATGATCTAGACCATCCCTGATAGACATTTATCTAACCTACTCTTAAATATCTCCAGAGATGGAGATTCCACAACCACCCCCAGGCAATTTAAGCCCTCAGAGGCCAGGAAGAACAAGTGTTCTGCCCACTAATGCCAGCAGAGACACAGGCTAAGTTGTCAGTGCTGGGCAGCTAATGTCAAGTTCCTAAATCCCATTGACTAAAACAGGCCTGATTATCTAAGGTGCTTGAGCTCTGTCATTCCCCGAGATCAGTGGAGGTTGCTGGACACGCTTAGCCCCTTGAGAAATCAGGCCCTTGACATTTAGGTGTCTAAGTAGAGACTTGGGACACTGAGTACCAGAGAGGGTGGGCAACGTCTCTTTTATTGGACTGACTTCTGTTGGTTAATGGAGACAAGCTTTCACGCTCTTCTGCAGGTCGTCTTCCTCAATCCCTTGTGTGATGGGACTGTTTGAAGTTAGGTAAGAGCTAGGTATGGGGATTGTTGTTATAGGCAGCCCCAGAACAACTGTCAGCAAGGTAGCGTGTTTCAGCTAGGCTAGGTCCAGGGAGCCTGAACTCTTAAGTTTCCTACAGGGATTTTAAAACTAGCCCTGCCTGTCCCTAACCTCCATAAAGAACCTTTCTTTGAGACAAAGAAAAGCAGAGTCAGGAGGTCATGGGCAGCTGGTCATGTAGGTCAGGGAAGGCAATTGCCTTCCTAAAACTGCCTACACTCTCCACTGGCTGCCCCCGAGGGCTGGGGCCATGGCATGGCTGCTTCTGGCATTCTGACCACCAGGGAAAGGAGGGACCATGCCACTTGCTGGGGCTGGGGGCACTAATCTGGAGTGGGGGCTGAGCATGACTTCACACGGGGAAGAGGTGGGACCTCCGGCTTGCCTTTCCCAGCTCTGCCTTCACCCAGTGCCTGTGCAGGATGCAGTTTAAGATCGTGCCATAGGATGAGCACACCGTGCAACTCAGGTGAGAGCAGTGATCTCGGGGGGAAGGAATTAGTCACAGTGAAGTGCAGCTGCGTACTTGGCTGGGATTTTGTTTGTGGGTATCAGTGAAGTGGAAAAGTGCAATGAAGAGAACTGAAAAAAATACAAAACCAAAAAATCCTTCAGAGCATGTTCCCTCTGTTTTCTAGAATAAATTTCAGTATGCAGAGTAAATTTTATGTGCACTGAGGCATGTGTGGATGTGCACCACCAGTTAAAAACAAATGTTGCTGGCTGAGTGCACTCTGCTAATCAGCTGGGCAGCATTTGAATGTCTCCTGGGGGGCTGCCTAAGTGCTCAGCTTATGGGGAACACTGTTCAAGAGTAATGAGGGACCATCTATATTTTCAAATATGCTACAAACCACAGGTCTATTCTCTATTGTACCTCACCAACTATAGGAACTCAGTTAATTCTGCCTCATAAACCCTCTTTTCTGGTAGGGAAGTATTAGTGTACCTACCTTTTGATGGGGAGACTGATGCACAGAGCAGGGAAGTGACATACACAAATCACACATGACAAAAAGTCTCAGAGGGGTAGCCCTGTTAGTCTGTAACTGCTCATTGTTTTCACCATGTGGGAGTAGGTTTAAGAGCCCTAACCACTACACAGCACTGCCTCTCTGGGACTGATCTCCAAAGCAGACCATGATTTGCAATTTGGCTGGTGATGAGGACTTTAGGGGATGATTCCCTCTGAGAGTAGAATCCAATATGTTAATCCTTTTCCCAATGCATATTTCCCTCCTCTCAGTCAAGCTGCAATGGGATTTGGCTCTGACTTTCCCTGGGGTGGGGGTGCAGTTGCAGTGAGGTACGTTTACAAGTGTAGCAATAAAAGCTCCAGATGTTTTTTTCCTAGATGCCCATCTCACTGGAGGGTCTATTAATACCCACAGCAGGCATGGACTTATTCCACCAGGAACTGCCTTGCTGTTGATACTGGAGCTTCTTGTCCTTAGTCAGATGGATTGGACTCTTCTTTCTATCTTAGCACATGGCCCTGACTTTATTAATTTTTTGCCCCTGGAGTGGAAGGGAAGGACAGCTGAGTGGGGAGAAATACTATGGAAATACTCCCTTCTCATAGGGCAAGCTGGAAGGGACCTTCCAAGGTCATTGAGTCTAGTCCCCTGCCCTCATAGCAGATTTATCCCAGATCCCTAAATGGCCCCTTCAAGGGGTTGAATTCACAACCTTGGGTTTACTAGGCCAATGCTCAAACCACTGAGCTATCCCTCCTATTTTCCAAAGCCTTAATGTTTCTTCACAAGTGCATGTTTCTCATAGCTCCTGCCTGTGTCTCTGCTGTGGGCTGTGGATGGGTAGGATAGGGCTGCTTATGATACACTCTCCTCTAAAACAAGCGTCAGGTAGGCCTTATGTGGCATCTTGCTCGCAGAGGGCCTGTTCTTTAGAGCCTTGCATGGATGCAAAATCTGTAGATGCAGCCCCATCTGTATCCATAAAAATAAGCTGTGGCAAGCCACCAATTTGCAGGGTTCTAGATACAAAATTTGTATCTGCATCTCTGTTAGCAAAAATGAGCAGTGGCTGCCCATATCTGTGGCTGCAGACACCAATAGATGTAAAGCAGTTACCCACGGATTTGCAGGGGCAGGAAACGCACGGCCAGACAGAGAAACATGGGAACGTGGGCAGGGAGGAGAGAAAGTGGCCGGATGCTTTTCTCCTTTACAATGGCAAGGACTGTATTCAACGTTCCCTCTAATGTTTTCCATCCATGGGCAGAATATATTTAGTTCTGTGCATCGAGACATGTGCGGAGGGGCACGGCCAGTAGAAACACAAGCTGCCAGCTGTGGGCATTCTGCTAATCAGCACCTGAACCCTCCTGGGTGGCTGCCAAAGTGTTCAGCGTACAGGGAACACTGCAGTGGAGCTATTGTCATTGTGCGTGTGATACTCTCGCCAGGTGCTTTGTGCTTACCCCAGAGAGTGATGTCTCCAGAGGAGGGGCAGCAGCAGCACCAGGATCTCTCCTAAGCAGGCCAGGAGCACCCTTCTCTAGGGCTGAAAAGCAAGATCAGTCACCACTCTATAATTGTCCCCTCCATTCAGATTGCTAACGAGAGAGGCGGGGAGGCCGGGCTGTCTCACTGAGGAAGCAGTGGAGGGGAATCTAAAACCACCTCAGTGGTTATAATAGTTTGGGGTGGGGGCTCTCCCCAAGCTCTCCCCACATACCAAGCTCCACCCACAGGGGACAACCTCACAGCGGATTGTGCAGCTTGTCGGAACCAGCTGCCCCTCTTCTGCTGGGAGCACTTTCAGCAGCAGTTGCCAAGTAGTTCAAGTGACATTTGAATCATCCTCCTCATCACCTGGATGCAAAGTTAATGCTCCATTGAGATCAACGGGCAGGCAGCGCAGAGCTCTCGTTCATGTTGCCTGCAGACTCAGGCAGACGATACTGCTTCAGCTACACTCCCTTCACAAGCTGAACTTTAAAAATGAAACTCCAGCTTGTGGATCACACGATAGCAATATCCCCAACTCTTCCCCCCTACCCACCCCCCCCCTGCGGGTTGCGTTTCAAGCAGTGGTGTCTGTTGGGACCGGGACATAAGGTTGGGGGAGAAAGGGGACTGGGTTACAGCGGGGAGGGGAGGTGTTCGGCTCAAGGGAAGGGAAGAGGAGGAGAGGGGAGGGGGATTGGGTTGGGAGTATGACCCTGTGATGGGTCTGCCGGGACCCGCACTGTGTCCAGCGAGAGGGGGGGGGTTGCTGGGGAATGGCGCGGCGAGTGGCAAACCCTCCACCACTTTGCAGGGAGGCGGGGAAAGCCCCACGCAGCTGCCGGAGATGGGCCGGCTCAGGAAATCATGTTATTCTGGGGACGGTTGTATAATTCAAAAACCGTTCCCTAAAAAAAAATTGTGCTATCACGAAAACATGTGAAGCGGGCACGTGTTAAATGAGGAATTACTGAACCTGACATGCCCAGGACAAAATGGTCACCCAACTCTTAAACTACATATCCCAGAATGCCAGTGGCCAAGGGTCAGAGGTCATATAGTCCAGGTATAAAAACTCCACCCTCTACTTGTAACTCTATTTATTGGTTGTTTCTGCTACCAAGACAGTAGTGAAGGAATGAAGTAACATTGCTCCAGCTGTGTCTGAACATGCCATAGTGCAATCTATCAAGTAACCAGCTTTACTAACACAAAATAAGGTACTTTCTTGACAATTAATGTAGGGTTTGGGTGGGGCTTCATGTAACTGGTCTCATGTTTACTCTTCCCAGTAATAATGCCTTTGGTACTCAAAACAGCTCAATATACAGTGCTGTAAATATCTCTCTTTCCCCAATGTAGTTAGTCTCTGTCTGGATCAGCTGGGGCTGTCCCAGCACAAAAGGAAACATCTGTTCGCTGGTAAATGCAGGGTAGACTAGAATATCCTTCTACTTACTCCTGTGTGTATTGGCAGTGGTCTGAATTCTCTGTCCCATATCTCTCAACCCCAGGCAATCATTGGATACTATTATTCTAGCATGACTTTAAACCCAAATAAGTATCACCTAAGCCTGGTTTACACTTAAGTTGGGTTACCATTGTTATGGCACTTGGGTGTGCAAAATACCCCCCTCCCCAACAGACAGCTGTAAACTATGCCAACCTAATCCCTGTTGCAGAGATGGCTAAGTTTGTTGACCTAATGATAGTTGGTCAGGGAGGTGGATTACCCTATCGCAATGGGAAAAACACCTTCGGTTACTCTAGGACGCATTTAGGCTACAATTATTGTGCCATAGCTATGCTGTAGTAGCGCTTGTTATGTAGATGTGGCTGTAGTTGAGTAAAGAGAAATCCCCATGCTTTAAAGCTGGCTGGTAATTGTGCTCGTGCTTTTTGTGATGCATTGCTTAGTTAGGAAATAAATTGAGAACATAAGAATGGCCACACTGGGTCAGACCAAAGGTCCATCAGGCTCAGTATCCTGTCTTCCAACAGTGGCCAATGCCAGGTGTCCTAGAAGGAATGAACAGAGCATATAATCATCAAGTGATCCATCCCGTCACCTTTTCCCAGCTTCTGACAAACAAGCTGGGGACACCATCTATGCCTATTCTGGCTAATAGCCATTGATGGACTTATCCTCCATGAATTTATCTCATTCTTTTTTTAATCTTGTTATAGTCTTGGACTTCACAACATCTTCTGGCAAGGAGTTCCACAGGTTGACTGTGCTTTGTGTGAAGAACAACAGCTCACTTTGTGCAAATCACTGGATAGGTTATGTGCTTATAGCATCTATTTCATCTGCCCTGTGTGGAGTTTGAACTACTGTTCTAGATATAGAAACAGAACTCAGCAGCCCATTATAAAAATCCCAGGTCCTACCATCCCATCTTACCTCTTTAAGTATTTATTGCAGCAGGGTTGACTGTTCCCCACCCATAGGACTCCGGAAGTAGTGTCACAAGAGTAGGTACAATTGGAAAAAGCCTCTCACAATTGGTGTGAACACCAAGGATTTGAACATAGAGCAGTGCTTGCTTCCTGACTCTCATCAGGACAAAGAAACACTCAGGTGAGAGATCCAGTTATCATGGGAATTAGATAGCAGATACCACTTTCTCTGTGTAAACAGAGGGCTATTCACATCAGCGAGGGATATGTCTACCTAGCAGCCAAGAGTGTGTGTCCCAGTACAGGTTTATAGTGGTGCTCGCTTGGCTCAGCATGCCCAAAATGGCATTTTGGCTGCAGCATGATGGCTTGGGGTAACCACTTGACCCTCCCCTCCCCCCAAGTACATACAGGAGTGGCTAGTCCCAGCTACTGCAGCTACACAACTATTTTTAGTGAGTTGCCAGACACTGTGTAGCACTCGGTTAGATATCAGGGGACAGGGAGTGGGATAGCTCAGTGGTTTGAGCATTGGCCTGCTAAACCTAGGGTTGTGAGTTCAATCCTTGTGGAGGCCATTTAGGGATTTGGGGCAAAAATTTGCCAGGGATGGTACTTAGTCCTGCTATGAAGGCAGGGGACTGCACTCAATGACCTTCAAGGTCCCTTCCAGTTCTATGAGACAGGCAATCTCCCTTTCAAGGTCCCTTCCAGCTCTATGAGACAGGCAATCTCCATTATTATTTTTTTTTATCAGTTCAGGAGGAAAAGTGTGAAACCTCCTTTGTTTAATAGAAAGGAAATGAATTTCCCAACCCACAGCTCTTCAGAGCTACTGCAAAATAACTGCCGCAACTACTTGTGGACCCTTGTATGGACAGCAAGCCCTGGTTTGATGCTGTATCATTGTGGTGTTGTGTCTTTGCTGTTGGTGGCCTGGTGTGGGTGGTGATGTGTTACCCACTTAGATTGTCAGTGGGAAGAAGCCGTCCTTTCCATCACATCACTCTGGAGTCTAGGGTTGTTGAACTGGGGCTGTGCCCCATTGGGGCAGCGTATTACTGATCTTACCCCCAGCTGCATTCGGCCTCGTGACTCTTACAAGGGGGAAGTCCCACAGCAGTCTTTGTGGCAATGTAAGCAGCAATAGAAAGGGCATCAGTTACACATTGGGAGAGCAGACAGCTGAGCAGCGTGACTCCTACAGAGCTGCCATGCTGAAGGTGTGCGAAACTCTCACGCTGAGAAGGGGCATGAGGGAGTGCATCAGGAAAAGCAGCTAGCAGGGAAGTGAGAGACAAAGCAACTCTGTAATCTCAGTGGAAGCAATTGTAATTCCTGAGCAACTTGACTTGCCGCAGTGTAACTGTCACTGTCATTGGGGTTACTCCTGTTTTCCACTTGCATGTTTGAGACTGTGGTTAGACTTGCTGCAGTGGTCCCTGTAAGCAGAGTGCTTGTGCAGCTGATCAGGAGCAATTCATGTGCCACCCAGCTGATTAGAAGAGGGCCGACAGCTAGGTTTTGTTCATATGGTTGGTGCAGATTTACATATGCCTTGGTGCACATAGAAAAATTTATTCTGCATATGGATAGAAAAATCTGCACATGGATGGAGAGGGAACATTGCTGTTGGGACACATTCATTTTGGCACCGGTGCGGCGACAGATACCTTGCTCTTCTGCTCTCCAGACCTGTGCTTGGGTGTGCAGTGAAGAAAAGATTCTGGGCCTGAGATTTTCAGAAATTGGTTCCCAAAGTTAAGCACCCAAATGAGTAACTTGATTTCCCAAAGTGCCTGGAATCCATTGCTTCTCTAGTCCATTAGGCACTTTAACAAATCAGGCTACTTATTTAGCCTATGGGCTTGATTTAGGTGCCTAGACATGGACTTAGGTGTCTAATCTTAGATAATACAACACCGAGTCTAACACATTTTAAATAGCTTTCTTTTAAAATAGTTTGTTCTGGGGCCTGTTTCGGATCGTGGCTGTAAATCAGGAGTTAAATCCATTGACATCAGCCATTACATGAGTGTAAATGAAATCAGGATCAAGCCCACAGCATGCAGGTGGCAGTGATTAAGGGCGAAGGGATGTCAATGGAAGCTGGGGAATGTTAAACAGAATTTGCTACAGAATCATGGTAATCAAATCTGCGGAGTGTTCTGGGGCCTGTTTCGGATCGTGGCTGTAAATCAGGAGTTAAATCCATTGACATCAGCCATTACATGAGTGTAAATGAAATCAGGATCAAGCCCACAGCATGCAGGTGGCAGTGATTAAGGGCGAAGGGATGTCAATGGAAGCTGGGGAATGTTAAACAGAATTTGCTACAGAATCATGGTAATCAAATCTGCGGAGTTCAGAACCCCCCTCCCCCTGCTTCCCCAGATCCTGGAAACTCTGCAGTAGAATCCCAAATGCCAAGGTGTCCTGCCTCACCCCAGATATGGGAATGTTGCAAATGCGACACTTGGGCTGTGAATCTAAAAGCAACTGATGATGGATTTCTCCCTAAGTGCTCAGGGCATTCATTTGGCCTCTGCAGTTAAACACATGCAATTTACCCACCCTGCATGGCTCCAAAATATATTAGAAACTGGCTCCTAGTGATAGACAAATCTCTGTCCCATCTCTGCCAAGCATGCTGCTTTTGAATCTCCAAACCATAGTAGCAAGTGCACCTAATAAAATGTAGGCATTTGAATTCAGGGACGTACAGGGATTTTTAATGCAACAGACAGAGGGGGAAAAAATTCAGCATAAAAGACTAATGTGTTAGTTTTATTTAAACATGATTTGTTTGAAGCTAAAGTAAGAAATGTTCTTATAAAACATCAAATAAATAAATAAATAAATAAAAATAAATAGGAATAACTTTTTCCATGAAAGAGTTTAGAAAGCACATGTAAAGCATCCTGGGAGGAATCAGCGCTGTAACACATTTCTTCAGAGCTCTGCAGAGTTGCCTTAATTCTTCCTGGAACCTGCAAGCAAGTCATGAAATAGGAGTTATGGCAAGAAAAGGCAGAGACCTCGAATGCACTTTGCTCTTATGTCTTTTAGTGTTTGCCATCTTCATTCTCACCCTAGATCTAGGCTTTGAAAATCAAATTCCTAAGAAAGGAGCATCCTTTATTAAAACGCAGAAGGTGGTTTTGTGGGGCAATCTTTGACAAACCATTTCCCTTGCTGTCCCTCAAATTAACCCGTGGTACTAGAATGAGATTTTATAATCTATTATAAAGCACATTGAGATCTACAGATGAAAATCACTACAGAATATGAAAGCTGAGCAATATTGTTAAATCCTGGGTTAATATAAATAGTCTGGAGAAAGGGGAGGGGGAGGCTAAAGAAAAACACCTCTCTGTGGTCAGAAATCATTACCAGGGTTGCTTTTAAAGGACATGGTTAGCTTAAAAATTATAACTAGGCTTGGGAGAATGAGGTGTTTATCGGTAAATGTCAGTAGATGTCAATTTCACTGTATGCACACAAAGGAAAAAATATACAGCTTAGCAAGGTCTGATGCGGCTTGAGAACGTACTACAGCTTGATTTAAGATTATTTACTTGCTATGTGTTGACATGTCCTGTTAACAGCTTGTGTTCCTGACTCATAAAACTGTAGCTGTTGGCGTGTCAACATTTGCGGCATAAATAATTGGCTGCCCCGTTCCCTGGCTAATTTCCTGCAACTGAAAATTTAAAGGATAAAAATGCTTAAAAATAAACATTGATATTATCAGTAGAAACTCTTTAAAAATAATCAGTCTTGCAAGCCTGGCAATCCTAAAATAGTCTCAGAGGGGTAGCTGTGTTAGTTTGTATCTTTTAAAAACAAGTATTCCTGTGGCAGTTTAGAGACTAACAAAAATATATATAGTATCATGAGCTTTTGTGAGCAAAATCACTTCTTCAGATGGGCCAGAGTGGGGAAAAAAACGGGAACCCAGAATAAAATAAACTTTAAAAAAATTTATTTTGTTATTTGTAATAATCACTGCAGATTATTAAAATGAGGGCTATTGTGAATCAGCAAAGCTCTACTGAAGACCGTGAAGACCGTTTATACCACCTGAGGATCTGGCTCTGAAATCCGAGGCCACTTCCTCCAGGAGTGTTTCATTTGTACACTATACTGGTATCCTCCTGTCCCAGTAAAGAGCTCCTAGCATGGAAGAAGCTATAGCAGCAAAGCTGGACTTTTGAAGGCATAACTTATTCCAACCTGCCCCCTCTCCCCCCGTCCTGAAAAAAAACTGCATTCATAGCAGGACCTTTTGTAGGTACAAATCAGCTGGTCATGCCCTGAGCAACACAGCCATAGCAGCCCAAGTCTGTAGTGTGGACATCATTTGAATCACTTCTCCCCATCTTTGTGGCTGGGTTTCCTTTTTGTTCTTCGCTCAGACAGGTCGATGAAAACAGACCTAGCCTAATGCAGCAATGAGTGGTTACCAAATTAAATTAAACCCAAACTACTTCTAGGAAGCGCCACTAGGTATCTGAGTTCTCTTGTACTAATTTGCCTGCATGCACACATTGAATGTGTGATGTAGGAAGGGTGATAGGTGTGCATTCATTTTTTCTTGTCATGGTCAGAAGATCCCTTATTCCTTCTTGAAATCAGGAATAAGGGATCTTCCAGAAAAGGGCTTATTTTCCAGAGAATCGCGTCTAGACTGGCGCTTTTCTCCAGCAAAAACCCTGAGCCGGAAAAAAGCGGCAGCCATGTAAATGCAAATGCCGCGGGGGATATTTAAATCCCCCGTGGATTTGCAATTCCGAAGTGTCTCGTTAGCATCCCTTTTCCGGAAAGGGATGCCAATGTAGACACAGCCCAAGAGAATGCAGGGTCATCGGGGCTTTGCCGGAGAAAAGCGCCAGTCTAGACAGGGATCTTTCGGAAAATAAACCCTTTTCCAGAAGATCCCTTATTCCTTCTTGAAATCAGGAAAAGGGTTTATTTTCCGAAAGATCCCTGTCTAGACTGGCGCTTTTCTCCGGCAAAGCCCCGAGCTGGAAAAAAGCGGCAGCCATGTTCATGCAAATGCCGCGGGGAAAATTTAAATCCCCGGGGCATTTGTAATTCCGACTGGTCTCATTAGCATTCCTTTTCCGGAAAAGGGTGCCAATGTAGACACAGCCTATGTATATGGAGACTCCTCTAGACTAATGCCACTAACACATTTTCATTTTAAATGTGTTCCTTGTCTTAAGCAAAAGCCAAATTTGAGGCCCAAGCTAAGGCACATCATTTCTTTAAAAGATGTCTTGGCAGCAGAAGCAGCTCTCAGTGCAGATTTTTATGCTATGCCTAGCAGTCTGGTGTCCAGGCAATTAATACCACTATTAAAATAAATATATATAGGAGCAACTCATTTGCATGGTGACTTGCAAAAACGGGCTTAGATCCTACACCTGGCCCCTTGTACTCCCAGCTGACTGGGTCCCAGCCATAGACCTGAAGGTCCTTACTGCACAGAGCGGACACTTTCAATGCGCTGCGATGAAGGCTGGACAGGGCACAGGCCTGGAGAAGGAGGGTGAGGTGGGTGTCGAGGGTGGATTTGGAGAAGGAAGCCTGGTGCAAGGGGTGTGTGTATGACATAGGGGTAGATGGTAAAAGGCCCAAGGACGGGAAGAGGCGAGGGCACAAGGAGTGAGTGTGCAGTGGGCAGGAAGGCATGGGAATGGGCAGAGGGACGGGGTGGTTTGACAGGACAGGGCTTTAGTCTGGAAGCGCATTCCAGAGATCATGGTTATACAGAGCCTAGCACAGGGGGTGCTGCTCTGTGCCTGGGGCGTCTAGGTGCTATGGCAACACACATCAATAAGAATGGTACATTAGGAAGGAGGAGGGACTCACCATTGCAGCCCATCCCGCTCAGCGAGCCGATCCGGTCAATTCTCCTCCCAAAGCAGCCTGATTCTCTCATCATCTTGGGAGCTTGCAGCCCCCTCAGTCGCTTGAGGAAGGGGTCCCTATAAGACAGAGGGGCGCTGGGAGCCAGCCTGGGCTCGGGCTGCTGGTCATTGCTCTCATCCATGAGTTCTGGTGGGATCTCTTGCTGAGTGTCGGGCTCCTGCAGATCGGGGTTGGACCCCAGGGCTTCCATCAAGGAGAACTTGTCCTCCAGCCTCTCCAACAGAGCCTGCAACAGAAGGGCACAGGCTGAAACTCCCATCCCGGTGGATTTTCCCTTTCCTCCTATCAGCTCAATCTGTGCTACCAGCAGTCACCCCATCGCCACCCGGTGGATTTTCCCTTTCCTCCTATCGGCTCAATCTGTGCTACCAGCAGTCACCTCATTGCCACCCAGTCTGGGGGGACTGTGGGACCGGCTGGGCTGGCCTCTCCCGCCCCAAATTTAACAGTTTGACTCAACTTGTGCCTGTTTTATTATGAGAGGCTGTTGTAATACTTTTAGGGGGCTTGTTATTTAAGGGCTTGGTCCTGCATGGGGCTGCTCATGCCAATCCCAGTCCAGCCAAGCACTTAAGCGTACGCTTACTTTAAATCACATGCAGAATCCTATTAAAGTCACTGGGATCCTTTGTCATGCATGTCCGAACCTGAATGTTGGCTGCTATGACAATGGATGCTATGAATCCCTTGGGTGCGTGATGATTTCCCAGCTCTGGGTTTTTGGTTTTTTCCTGAGGGAGTCCAGCTATGTGATCACACACATTTCTTAAAGAAAATGAATGATCTTCCAAAAATTCCTACCCTCCACCCCTCTCCCCTGCCCAGGCAGACTCGGATTCTTTCCTCGTGTTTCCCAAATGTGCATCCGCGTGCTCTCATCTTCCGTGCAGCTTAGCGAGAGAAATTGGACGAGGGACCTCCTCTTAAAAATGCATTATGTCCTCTTGTAAAGCTACACGGATCCCTTTATAATTCTCCCTAAGTTCTAATCAAGCCTTAAGGAAAGGCAGTTTCTGCATTGAAGAGGGAGAGGTTCTGCAGCCTTGAGTCCCTCTTCATCCCTGCTACCGCCAAAGATCATCAGCTCAACCCACTAGCTGAAGGAATTGCTCCCTCCAGGCTGCTGGGTTCTCTGAAATAGGAACCCTGTCTGCCTATGGCTTTGCCGTTGACTGTACAAACCATATGAATTTGGCTGGCTCACCATGGGCCCTGTGAGTCTTCGCTAGCTACACTACTGCCCTAGAGAAAGATGCTGTCTGCACACCACTGAACCCTATGAAATCTAACAATGTTCTCACCTCCATGCTGGCCAGTTCTTTGGCCGGGCTGAGCCCAGCGAGAGGGTTGGTTCGGCTGGACTGGAACTGAAGGAGCAGCAGCAACAGGAACCCGCAGGCAAATGAACCTTTAGTGTCCATCCCTCTGGATCAGTTTGGCCGATGGGAAAGTTCAAGCTTCTTTGGAGATGTCCCTTCAAGTCTCTCTTCCTTGTCCTGTGCGCTCCCTCCCCGGCTGGTCTTTTATACCATTTGGGTGTGATCCCTGCTCCCTAGGTTATCTGTGGATTTATCTGGGGCACATTCCAGTCCCATGGCAGGCATGCAGCTCTGTCAGGAGAAGATTCCCTTTATTAGCTGTCATTAGGAGGCAGCTGCTGCCGCTGAGGA